GTGTCTAAAGACAGAGGTGTCCTATTCTCATCAAATTTCAATGGGAATTAGGCATCTAACTACCTTAGGAACCTTTTAAAATCTCATCCTAAATTTTTGTCCTTTTTTACAGTAGAGCCATGTACAGTTAAGATGTGACAGTTTCTGTTAAATGATGTTGACATTTTTTAAATTTCTGGGGTAAACAGAAACAACCTAAACCTCCTTAAATAGGAGCTGCACCTTGCTTATGACAGGACTCAATTAGATTCCCCCAGAATACCAATAGAATACAGAGAGGTGTTTGGGATTTGTTTGTTTGTTTGTTTTTAGGCTGGCTGGTCAAAAAAGCTTTTCCAAACACTAAATGAACCCAGAACTGAATTAAAAGTAGTAGGAAGTGTCACTGTCTGAAGACTGACAGATGCTTGAACATTGTTGTTAGTCATAAATAGACCTCTGAGGCAGAGTTCAACCACCTGGAGTCTGACATGTACATTTAAAACCTTAACTCTAACTTTTTTCTTGTCTGAGAATACTAATTAAGTCCTGATCCAGGAAAGCTTCCTTATACAGGACAGGTTAAGCATGTGCTGTCCTGAATCAGGAGTCTTATGCTATATAGAACCGTGACTCACTTAATAGACAGTGAGTCATGAAAAGTCCTTCAACCTCAAGATCAACTAGAAAACATTTAATTGTTATATACTAGCATCTCAAAGAGCAGGCTACAAATTCCTGTTTAGATAAAAACAAATGCTGGAGTTAATTATATTAATTCCACTAAAGGAGTTTCACATACACAGGCTATCACTAGATGTTCATACAGTTATTTCTGTTGATAAATGGGGCCAATTGATAGAATGTCTTTCAAAAGGATTACTGATAATCTAATGGGGGAAGATTCATGCTAGCTTTTTTGTCCAGATACTAAAATATATTATTTCACAATATATTTTACTATGCTGATGGTGCCATAAGTACCATCTGTACAAGATTTTCATTCTTCGGTCTCAGTTCCCTAGTTCATAACAGGAAGAATTCCGGAAGCTCCAGAGGGTTCGGTCCCAAAGGAAACAGAAACTCCAGGAGCACAAGTCACATAATGGTGGTCACATGCCACTCTTGGAACCTTCCAGACAGTTCTTTCTTGATTGTATTATTTTCTATCAGGAGCTTCTGTCACTGTTCTGATTCTTCAATCCAATCAGCATCTATCCTGCTCTTGCTATTCTTTGGGTCTCTCTCTGGCTGGCTTCCAGTCTAGGCTAGTCCTTGTTATTCTTTTATTTTAATAACTCTGTGACTCTTTAGCCACTGGTCCAAAAACACCATTAAGATGCCATTTCCACAAACCCTGAAGAAACCTTGGTTCCATGTCATAAGTCTTCCTGTTTAGTACTGAGAGATTTGGTGCCTTTCTTGCACTATTTATTTCTGTGACTGTGCCTCAATACTTTTTTGCTTCAGCCAAAATGTCAAGGGCTCCCTGAAAAAATTTTGTTTCAGTCAATGACACATCTGACATTCGCTGGATAAAATATCCTCTCCCCCAAAAAACAACACTAAAAAATCCATTTTCCATACACTCTTTCTCCCCTCAAATCCCATCAGTTCCATATGGTCCCCCATCCTAAATCCATAGATATTTAAAACAATTCCAGGTCAGTTTTTGTGTTTATGAAGGACAGTATATACCTGATGTAATTAAGGCTTCAGCAAACTAGCTGTCTGTGTGCAAGCAGGCTTCTCTATTGAGAGCTACTGTGACCTCTGGATGCAAGGAGGGTTGGCTCAACAGTGTATGAGGCAGTATGATCTAAGCTTTCGTGAGTAAAAACCTCGGTTTTTACTCACGAAAGCTTATGCCCAAATAAATCTGTTAGTCTTTAAGGTGCCACCGGACTCCTTGTTGTTTTTGTAGATACAGACTAACACGGCTACCCCCTGATACTTGGCAGTATGATCTAGTTTCTAGTAAACTGAACATGGCATTAAGAGCAAGGGACTTCTGTGTTCTTATCCTGCCTCTGACAGCTGTTTGCATTGCTAGCACTCAAATACCTCAACTGGGGTGGGGCTCCATTGTGGTAAGTACTGGACAAACACATAGTAAGAGACGGTCCCTAACCCAAGGAGCTTACTGACTCCTGCTGTGGCCCTAGTCAAGTTATTTAGCCCAAAATTTTCACATCAGCAGCTTCTTGGAAAATGAGTTTAGTTTCATTTAAGTGTCTAAATGTGCATTCAGGTGCCTAATTTAAAGCAGAGCGCTAAGGATACAATTTTCAAAACAAGCTGTCTAATTTACCCCGTCTGAAAAAAGAGGATGAAAAACAAGGCAATCTAGGGTTTTGTTAAATGGACAAATGTCCCTTAAAACCTTTTAAAATATTCACAATTATGCACTGATCCCTGAACAACCAATTAACCTCTCCTTCTCTTTATGTGCATGATGATGGAAATAGCCTGAAGAACTACCATCTCCCCACTTTTAATATAAAATGAGTCCGTTCAGTTTTGGTGAACCCTAAAGCAATATCTTGCTGAGATCTTAACCCCAAATTCTTAGTATCCCTGCGAGCAGTGGTTTTGATAGGCACTGGACTAAATTTGTTTCTGTGTACAGGAAGGTAACCGCAATTCTGTTTAATTTTGCTCCTTTCCACCACACAGCACTAAAATAACAAGGAAAATATTTCTATGAAAATATATAGGTTCCATATATTGTATTGTATTTCATTCTCACTACTGAGATACACACACAAAACCTTTTCTGTGTAAAAAACAAAAAACAAAAAAACCTGTTTTTTTGTATAAGTAAGAGTTAATTATAATTACTTTTCCTGTGTGTATTTTAGCAAATTTGAAGACTAATATTTTATTCGAATTGCATTTGCTCTTTGTACAAAAAAAGTTGCCATACAATTTTTTTGCCATACAATTCTTTTGGACAAAATATCCAAATCAAAATGATCTTGCCAAACCGTTTAAGGTACTGTAACTGAATAAATAACCTATACTTCACTTGTGGTTTTACAGACATTGGTCCTGAATTTGCCAAGACTTACGCATGTGCTTAACTTTACACTTTGCATTTAGTCCCTTTGATTTCACAGAGATAGCTCCTGTGTATAAAGTTAAGCAAATGCATAAGGGTTTGTAGGATTAGGGCCTTGTTTGCTCTTCTCTCTCTTATTTTTAGGCTTGGAGGTATTAGATTTTTAATCAGTAAATGTCGATTTCACCATACCCACACAAAGTGAGGAAAATATATTTCCATCTATAACAACTGAAAATTATAGAGAGGCAAAAGTAAGAAAAATGCTGCTTGAGAACTCTGTTTTAAGGACGTAAGGATATTTACTTTATATATGCTGACAATTTGTATTTGAATGTTTTACCTTTTGAATGTCAACATCTACAATAATTAGTCTGACATCCCCATAATTTTGCACAACTGTGAAAATTTAAATTGATCAAAATAGAATATGCTTAAAATAAACATTGATATTACTTACTGAAATGACATAAAATCAAATTCTGCTAAGTCTACTTATTTTGGCTTTTATCCTACATTCAGGCTGTGAGTTCACAGCATCCAAATGTCACAAACCTGAATGATACCATAGAAAGATTTTTAAAAATGTATTTTTCTTTAAAATTTATAGCTCAGATCCTTCAAACACTTAAATGCGGGAATCATCCCATCAAAATTAGTGGAACTACTCACCTACAAAAAGTTATGCAAGTTTGCAAGCTCTTTCAACTCTTCAACATATCCCACTGCTACCATTTGCAGACAAAAGGTTCTTGTTTGCCATGAGCACCTAAAATCACCATCAAAGTCAATGGAGTAGAAGTTGATGGAGTTTTCTGTGCACAAATAATTCAGGACTGGGCACCATCTCAAAAAATGATCCTAGATTTAAAAACAACCACCACCACCACCAACAGAAAAACAGAAAGTTCCTTCCTCACCAAGTACAGACCTATTTTTAAAGACTGCTTAAAAATGTTAAAGTGGCCAGTTTATATCTACCTTTCCAGGGGAGAATTAATTTCTTTTTAATGTCAAGCGACTAAAAAAATGAATCATGATTTTAAAAAGTACATAGATGTAAAATACAAGTAGTAGCAGGTAGGGTGACCAGGTAGCAAGTGTGAAAAATCGGGACGGGGGTGGGAGATAATAGGTGCCTATATAAGAAAAAGCCCCCCAAATTGGGACTGTCCCTATAAAATCATCATCTGGTCACCCTAGTAGCAAGTATCCTGCAAGCACTTATGCACACGCTCAATTTTAATGGCACGCTGAGTTCTGTGAGACTATCCGTGCGCTTAAAAGTAAGCAAGTGCTTAAGGCTTTGCTGGGTGGGGACCCTGACGTGGCCTTTCGGGCAGTACTGTCGGTGCAGGAGTGTTTTGGGGCAGTGACACCCCCCCAGAGAAGCACACGACATCTCTCATCTAAAGCGCTGGGGCCCAGAGGAAGCCAGCCGCTGGCAACCCCCGCTCAGACCAGCACAGGGGCAGCAACGCGGGGCAGCTTCTCCCCGCCGCTGCCTTCCTCCCAGCTCGGGCCTTTTGCCTCTGAAAAACTTTCCACAATGACATCATCTGTTTGTGTAGAAAGTCGCCCCCCCCAACGCCTGCCCGCGAGCCTGTCGCGTCAGGGACACGGGGACTCCCCGCCGCCCCACGCGGTTATTTTACAAAACACGCCGCTTTAAACCCCGGCCTGCCGGAAGCGGTGCGAGCGGGGCCCAGGGCTGGCTGGACGCCCTGGCCTATGACGGAGAGAACACGCAGGCAGAGGCTCGGCGGAGGCGGATGGGCTCGTGCCCGCCCCGCAGCCCGACTGCCCGGGCAGGCTGTGTCAGGGCTGGGGGGGCGCGAGGCCGGCCTGTCTCGCGAGGCTTGTCGTCGGCCATTTTCCCATTGGCTGGCGCTGGCGGAGGGGGTGGGGGCCGCGGCGCTGCCCTCGCGGGGTGGTGTGTGTGTTGAGGGGTGGGGGAGAATGAGCCGCTCGCGTCCCTCCGCCTCCTCCCGCCGCTGCTGACGACTCCTCGGCCCAGCCTGCTGCGGGCCCAGCGCCGCGCCACCGGCCATGGTGCCCAACGAGGAGAACCAGCTCGTCCCCAAAGAGGTGGGGCCCGTGCGGCGGGGTCGCTCGGCGTGTGTGGGGGAGGGTAGAGGCTCCTGCCAGGGAAGCCTCGGGCGGGGACGTAAGTGCGGTGGGGGGTCGGGCCCGGGGGGCTGTGTGTGTGGGGGGGTCGGGCCCGGGGAGGCCCGGCGGGGAGGCCCTGCTCCCGGTCAGGCCCGGGGGGCTGTGTGTGTGTGGGGGGGGTCGGGCCCGAGGAGGTGCGGCGGGGAGGCCCTGCTCCCGGTCAGGCCCGGGGTGTGTGTGTGTGTGTGTGTGGTGGGGGGTCGGGTCCGGGAAGGTGCGGCGGGGAGGCCCCGCTCCGGATCGTGCCCGCGGGGGGGGGGGGGGGCTTTGGCCCCCTTTTTTTGGGGGGGGGGGGGGGAGGGAACTCCCTGCCCAAGTGGGGGGGGGGGGCATGTGGGGGTCCCTATGGGGGGGACTGGGGTGTGGGGGTAGGGTTGGGTCTTTGCAGTGTAAGTGCAAGGCCCGTAAGGGGGAGGGAGGGTTGTGAAAGGCACCTGTCGGTGTCACTGCATGTGGCAAGTATCAGAGGGGTAGCCCGTTGTATCCACAAAAACAATGAGGAGTCTGGTGGAACCTTAAAGACTAACAGATTTATTTGGGCATAAGTTTTCGTGGGTAAAAACCCAGTTCTTCACTGCATGTGGGTTTATGTGGGAAGAAGAGGGCCCCAGTGTGTGTTGCTGTGTGCGAGAGCTTGGGGGGAGGCACTTGTAGCATGAATGTGGGGAGGCCCTGGTTTTTCTAAGGTTGAGGGGAGCGCCTATTCGTATGAGAGATCTGAGGGGGAGCTGCATGTCTTGAGGTGTGTGTGAAGGAGGAAGAGGTGAAGCCTGAGTGGTGAGATCCCTTGTCTGACCCAGGGCTCACTTGCGGGAAGAGAGAGAGGTTAAAGGACGTCTCTGTGGTTCCAGGGAGCCTGGGGTGTTGGATGAGCAGGTGGGAGAAGTGCCATGCCTATGTGAAGTTATCTGGGGACCCGTAGCTGGGATGTAGGAAGAGAAATTGTCCATATGACACCTAGGAGGAGAGCAGGCCCCTGTCAGTGTTGTTTGAAGGAGCTGGGTTAGTGGGAGGGCACCAGGGAGGGATTCAATCTGAGAGTTTTGAGGAGGGGAAAGCCCTCTGAGTGAAGAAGGGGTGGAGACAGGAGGGAAGGCCTCTGTCTGTGCGGTTTGGAGAGGCTAGGCCCACGTGTGGAGTTTGGGGAGGGAAAGGTATACCCTTCCCTGTGTGGTTCTTTGAGGGTGGTGGAAAAGGGCAGGAATGTTTGTGGTGGGCTGGGGGTGTAATAAGAGAATTGATTTGGCAACCGATTGTGTTCCTGTTTGCAGGAAAAGGCTGCTGTCTCTCTCCAGCAATGGAGAGGGAGGGAGAAGGTCTGCCCCTTATCCCTAGTCTCTTACAAACAGCAAAGTGGAGGAGAACTGAGCCCCCCTGTCCTTTTGTGCTGATGCTTCTCATGTAAATCACATATGTCCAAAAATACTGCTCAGGATTGAGAGGGGGGAGTATAGGTTTTAAGTGATGGACAAAGTGATCATAATGATCTGTTAAGGCAATTAATAATATACAAGGTTTTCAGCAAATTCTTTTGAGAACTGTGGGGATCTGACAGGATAGGCTCAGTTAATTTTTAAAATGATTTTACATTCCAATTAAATTGTTCTAACTCTTATTGTTACTTTGTCCTCCCACCCGAATTTGCTTATTTTCTCCATCTGTTCTGTCTTGTTATATATCTAGATTGTAAGCTCTTTGGGGCAAGGCTTGTCTTCTTATTACTGGTTTGTACAATGCTTGGCATTTTGAGACCGTGATTCCTGAGAACTACTATAGTACAAATAATCCTGAATTTTATAGAAATGTAAGCTATGAGAGAGTGTCAGGGGCACTACTGTATAATTGAAGGAAATAAGGTAATGGAAAGCTGTACTTTGGAGGCAAATATGTCTGAAACTTAAAAATAAAATATTTGGTTTAAAAACAAATAAACAAAAACACCACCACAAGGCAGGAGGGGATATAGCCAGTATAGGTGGATGAAAACTAGGAAATAAAGGAGACTGACAGAAAAAGCCTGTGGCACTTGTGGTGGGTAACTGGAATAGATAGGGATGATTAACAGAAGAATCTAGCTATGGCCGTTCCTTTAGTTTTTTAGTTTTTATTCCTGTTTAGTTTTTTTTAGTCTGTGCATGTGTATCTCTCTCTCACACACACACACACACATCTACCTGTTGGGTTTAAAATGTATTCAGAATATGTGTGCTTCAGATGTGTATTTTTAATTGTCTGCTCAATTTAAGACTTTTTCCCTTTGGTATGAAAGAAGTAAAGGGAACAGATAGAGGAAGGTAACTGTTTTAAAAGAATTAATGATGTGATGTCCTGTAAAGTTGTCATGGATTTGGATATCTTAAAGAAACATCATTTACAAATGTCATGAAGTTATGTTGATAGTCCCCTTGTAAATTACAGAATTGGTTGTGATTCTTCTCAGATTCTCTTCTAAGTTACACCTCACTACTTTTTGCAAGTAAACACAGTGGAAAACCACTGTGACTGATGTAAACATTGACAGTTTACTCTGTAATGAAGTAAACTGTTCTGTGATTTTTTTTTGTAAACTGAATTCAGTTTTTTTTATAATGCAGATATGAGACACACAAAATAGTTGTTTTGATGAGAGAGAGAAACAGATTGAGGGGGTGTCTTAAAACCCTTCAAGATCCCTACTTCTGTTACAAATAACACAGACAATATTGTCATTTTCTGTTGTACTTTTCTAACTTTACAGTGTGCCCTTTGCTTGAATTAGGGTGCATGGAAGATTAATAAATCTCTTACTGCAGCATTCACGAGCTACACCTGTTAGATTCAATAATAGTCTCATAAAGGGAACACTATTTTGAGAGAGGTGTGGGTGAACTGTGTCCTCCGGGGTCCCAGTTGAAACTCAGATCTGTCCCTTAGTTTCTTCAGTTTTCCTTGATTTTGCTGTGCGACTCCTGCATTATTGTACTTCCACAAGTAGAAGATGGTGTGAGCCTTTTTGGAGTTTCAGTTCTGCTGCTTATTAGGTGAAGGAGTCACTGTTTTCTTACCACCTCCCAAAGGGCTGAGTGACACTTTTTTTTGCAGCACATGCTGCCTGCCTCTGGAAATTAGAGTGGGATTTGAACCAGGGTCTCTTGAAAGACAATACAGAACCATGTTGTTTTACTTAATACCGCTTTTGTTTGCTTGGGACAAAAATGGCAAGATGACATTTAAAATGTCAGTTTCCTTGACTAGTTGGCTGAAGGTGAGGATGTAAAAGTCCTAAATGGTATGGGTCACAGCTACAAGATTGGAGACCGTCTCTTTCCTCATGTGATACCATGGTAGTTGAGGTGGTCTGGGGTGTTTGAATTATAACTGATTCTTGCTTTAAGTGGGAAGCGGTTAATGGCAATGTATTTTCAGTTAAGGGTCCTCAATTCTGGAATGCCTTTTTTCCTTCTGGCTTGACAGAAACTGAGTTTGCCTTCCAAGGCACACTATACAATGGTTATTGGTTTTCAGAGGCTTTTGTTTAGGGAACGTGGGTTTGATGTTTGTATGTGTGGGAGAATTTAGTCCCTGTGGGCTCAGAGGGCTTTATTAATGTTAATCCTATCTGAATTTGACTATTTTATAAATCTGTTTTACTTTCGTGTAGGGCATCTGACAGGTACAACTTACTTATCTAAAATAAATGTGATTTAAGGTTTTGCTTTTATCTGCCTCTTCTCGCTTTACTATCTACTAGCTATTTGCAGTGCTGGTACTGGGCTTTGGGTTCAGGATCTCCTTTAGCTAAAAAGTATGCTAAGGAATTCTAACTACCCCAAAGCAGTGCTTATAGAAGCTGTGGTGTTTTTTAATTGAGCTTTTTATGTTCTTCCAAGTTCTAAATTATCTCCATGAGTTAATAGTTTGAGGACCAAATTTAGTTGTTGAACGGGCTGACTGTTAAACACTGTTTTGTTCCAGCTGTTAAGGGGTGAGTGATACCGTCTATATCCCAGGAGACTGGAAGCTACTTACTCTGTACACTGTATGAGTCAATGGTTATGTTCAAGTCTAGCTGCATATAGAAACACATGTTACTGTGCTGCAAACAAGCTACTTATAGCTTTTTGATATTGATCACATAAAATTTAGTGAGGGTTCAGTGATATACCATTAACTTTGGGACTTCTTATAGAGTTGTAGTTGCCACATTGTGATCTATGGAGCAGTTTGCCCAGGGAGTTGTTTGGTTATATGACGTTGGTTGCTTATTTTTCACCTGCTAAATTGCAATTAAAATGCATTATTACATCCTAATGTTTCTTTCCCACGTAAGCAATTTCTGTAGCTGCTACAGGGTGTCATTTAATTTACAGTTTGTGGGGGAGGAGGGAGAATATGTGGAAACTTAAACTTGTCAGTATAAAGTGTACTTTGGACAGTTCAAGTGTAATGTACTTTATACTTGCTGTCATTAAATCAATGGTGGGAGTGTGTGAGACTGTGCTGCTTTACAACCATCTGAAGTGAATCCTCCCAGTCCAAACCTGGATTAAATGCAATATTTTCATCTTGTAGATGAGCCTGTGCTTCAAGGTGGAACAGATATTGGTAGATAGATGGCTTCTCTGCACTGCAAAGGGCATGTATGAGCTATTATAGCTCCCCCACTGTAGTGGCATTGGAGGCACTGTGACTGAACGTGTGGGACTTTCAATGTCCCTGTTGGTGGTGATTCTTTTGGGACAGTTGGAAGATTTCATGGCCACTTGAGGTGGACGCTAGTTCAACTCATAAAGCTGGCCACACTCTTGATTCAGTTGTTGGATTGAAATAGGAGATGGGGCAAGGGCTGGTAATGCAAATTGCTGGCAATGGCAATTGAGATATTGTGAAGGTGTAACATCCTTCTGTTTTCTTGTTTCAGGAAAGTTGCTGATTTTATT